CTCCTGTTATACAAGCCATAGCACTACAGGCAAGAAAGGAGGGAAGAGACTTCCCTTCAAGCTCATAATGTTATGCTGTGATCCACCAGAAAAGTAATGGCTGTATAAAGGCATCCTTCCCCTTCAAAGGATTATCATACCTTTTCCACAACTACAAACCCTGGAAAGCCAGCAATTTAGAGACAAGAGATTAGAGCACAGGTTCTAGCCTCTGCTGTGGCCCCTGTATGCCAGCTCTACAGGCAAAAGAAACCACAACACCATTTTAAAACAAACCCCATGGAATATACCTCCAGCATAAGGAAGATTTCTAAGTGGCATAGAATTATCAAAATGGCCCTAATGCTGAGTCTCTCCACAGTTCACACAGCACAGTGGCCTTCTGAGAGGAGGGAGAAGGAAGCAGACCAGGATATATTGCCTTCTAGCTGTTAAGAACTACCTGATGCTTCCTGAGGTTGCCATAGCAGTACAATATAAATTAGAGCAATCCCTATGGCTACTCTAGCTCAAGCTGGGGACTTCTCCATTCCCTATCTGTAGAGCCCTGAGAAATTCTTTTATTTATTATAATGTATTATTAAATTTTGTTGTATCATAGGAGGCCCAGGGGACCGGGGGGGGAGGGGTCAGGTCCTGCCCTTGGGGAAGGGAGGAGACCTGGAGAGGGGGAACAGTTGCACAGTGAGCCCATCCCGTACTCACATTGCAACAGCAGCTCCTGTCCCACAGGGCTGGGCCCCTAGCTCCATGCTTCAAGTGATGCAACAGGATGCGGGGTGGAGGGGTGTCAAATTTGAGAGAGTGATGCTGCAAACCCATGCTCCAGGGTTTGCCACTCAGATTTGGCCTGGCTGCCCCCCCCCCCCCCCCCCCCAGTCATGACAAAGGGTTGGATGGGCCAAACTAGAGCACGGAGACAGGCCCAGGCCCACAGGACAGGAGCCGCTGCTGCAGAGTACATTTCCCCCCATTTTATCTTATCAATTGTTTTTCGTTTTAATTTTGTGTTACTTCACATTTGTGAAAAACATGGGGCTCTACTGATCTTTCTACAGAGTCTGAGGATCGCAAACATTACATAAAGTACCTTCCCCTTCTGGCCTGTGCAGAGCTCAGTTCAACTGCAATCCAGACTGGTGCATTGGATTCCAATCTATGTCTCCTACATGGCAACGACCACCAGTACCACTAACTCCATGAGGCAGCATAAAAGCTTGCATACTAAGCACGAAAACTTCCTTTAAATAAAAAAAAAGTAAAAGTCCTGTTGTCAAACAACTATTTCTAAACGAGTTATCTATTAACACAAGCTAGCCACTTCTTCCTAAAATGGCTGCAACCTTTATCAGTGGCAACCACATATTATACACCACTGCATTATTTTATGTTTCCAGCATTGTACTCTCTGTGGATAAAAACTGATCAGATTGTTTTTTATCATTCTTAAAGCATGCAAAGTGAAAAATAATTCAGAAAACCAACTATAAATTTTTTCTTGCAACAATTTTCCAAAGTTTTTCTTTGTTAGATTATTTTTTCTGCAGTTTCAACATGTTAGCTAATACTTTTGATGGGGGTGGTTGCTAGCATGACCAACAGAGAGAATTCAGAGTAAGATTAGAGGACTGAAGTAGTATTCTGTGTACAGAAGTGTAAGAATCTGAACTTGAGAATTTCTTTATTTTCATTAACTGTAAATAAAACCTGAGGACAAAAATCTCTGAGAAACTAGATTTTAAAACATGATAAACTATAGTTAAGCTTTGAACTATAGCCAATTAAGAAATTCAGTGCTGTGAAAAGACTTTCAAAACTGTAGTTTGGGGCTGATCATATTTTGATTTTGTGAATTAATGAAGATGGTCTTGTTACTACTTATGATCTAGAAAGACAGAATATTTGACTTAACTAATTATTTTTATCTGAATGTGACACAGAAAGCAATTTTACTTTTTCAGTTCTCTTTTTTATGAAGTTCTTGGTTATTGGGGTTTTTTTTAAATCCATCTTCATAAACTCCCCAGAAAGTCCATTTCTATGGAAAACTTTGGAACACTTTTACAAAGCCTGTAGTTATAACAGTCTGCTAATTTAGGGTTTCATCCTACAAGCACAAAGGGCAGATCCTGCTACTGGACCCATTCAGGCACAAGGATTCACTTGCATAGATGCCTCACTGAAGTCACTGGAGCAGGGCACGTGTGCAGGGGTTCACTTGTGTGGAACCAGTTGCAGGATGCAAGTTTATTCACACAAGTAGTACTACTGAAGTCAATTATAAACCAGTTTATGAATAAGCCTCTCTGTACATCATAAGAACCTGGAAGGAATTCTAAAATAAACAAGTAAAAATCACAAACCGTTGCCAGCTGAAGTCACATCCCAGAACAAGAAAATGCACACAATACTATAATAAATCACACTCAAATGATACAGTACTAATATACTATGCTAAAATAAGAGCCATGGAATAAAACCATATTAAGAAAAATCACTAATAGATTTGATTTATATAAGTAACTTCAAGATTATCAATTCAGTTTTTCTTTTAAAAATAAGTTCCTTAAGCCTTCTTTCTTGTTTTAAATTATTTTTCCTCTTTCCCAAATGTTAGTAAATTTAAGGTCCGAACTCTGCAATTAGATCCAGGTGGGTGAATTCCTGCAAGGATTCATAAGGAGCCCCACCAACTCATGGCAGATCCAAACACACTTTGTCCTTGTCTACACTGGTAGCAGTGTGTAAGATACTTGTAGCTACACACTACAGCAAAACGCAAGCTGCGTGCGTGCTGTGGTGCGTATCTACACATAGCAGTAAAAGGCTCTGGCAGTGGAGAAAGTTCCAGCAATAGGAAGGCAGCAGGAAGCAATGCTGCTAAAAAATATCAGTGCAGATTGGGGGGTACTGCTTGGATGCACAGAGAGCCATGTAGGGTATGCACCTACAGTTCTGGTGTGTCTGTCCTCTCCTCACCTAAGCACAGCCTCACCCTCTACACTGCTGTTTATACCCATGCCAGAGGGGCATGCAATGTATGTACTCTACACACCACTGTGAGTGTGTAGTGTAGACGTACCCTTTGACTTCCAGCAGTGGTACTGGCAACATTTTTTCTCTGGATATTATTAAGTAAGCAGCACCTGGAACAGTGGAGGGCATCTGGTCATGGAAGTAACTTCCCCTATTGTACTTCAGCATATCCTGGACATTATGTAAATCCAAATCAAATGCTCATTAAGAGAAGGCCTGACTGTTTCCAGGGAAACGACACAGTTTAGTCCCTGCAGGCCATGGCCAGTTATACCTGTTAGTCAACTTAGTCTAGACATTATTTGTTTCTGTTTGATATTTAACAAGGATTTCTGAACAACAGCATTTCTTAAACTCCTGACAACAAAATACAAGTTTGGTGTTTTTCTTCCTATGTTTAGTTTATTACTAACCAGAATGTGCTACTGGACTGAGTTAATCAAATTACTATTCCACAGGTGGAAAAGAAGAATTAAGACCTGCTTAGTATACATAAGGTAATTTCATCATTTGTAAGCATATGTAATATAATTGTCTACTCTTTGTATTTACATACATTTTAAATGTTGTATTGTTAAGATTTTTTGTGACAATCCCAGAATAAAATATACTGAGTATGATTCATAAACCTGGGAATACACAACATTATTATATATTTATTTTGGTAATCAAAGCTGATCTAGGAATGTGTCTAATGAAATTTATGATAATACTTAGTTTAAAGTCAGTCTATATAAAAAAAAATGCATATATACCCCAAAAGGATAACAAATAATCTTGCATTCATCCCAAGGGATCCCGAATGACTGTTCATGTACACTGATGCGCAAATCACCCACTACTAATATGTAAACACCTAGAGCATGAAACAACAGATACTGAACAATTATTGCAATATTACAAGATAGTTTAGGGCAGATTTAAAAAAAAAGTTAGGATTACATATTTGTGTTGCCAAAAACGTTTCAAATACAAAGCTATCTCAAAAAACGCTATGTACAATTGTGATAGTACAAAGTTTACTGCTACAATATTTTTAGAGCTGGTAGCAGAGAATTATATAGCAAACAATAAACAGTCTTCAGCTGAATATATACCTTCAACAGTTAGAGGTATACTCATTTGTTTCAGACTCTCTAGACTATTGAAAGAGTAAAGGAAGAGGGGCTAAACTAGCTAAAGTTGCCAAATACTCCATTCCAGTTCAAAATCTCTGAATCCTAATACTAATAATAAATATTCAGAATACTTAGCACTTACAATGCATTAAACATTAGCTGGTTAAAGAGCACATATGGATTCAATGGAATACAATGCTCTGAGTAGTGTTTAACTTTTCTGGATAGCTAAATTCAGAACTTAAACATTTTTAAAAACAATAACACACCGCATATAGTCTTACCAACAATACTCATCAAAAACTTAAACCCTCTTTTCTTTCCTTTTTTTTTAAAAAAAAAAACATTGGATCACGACCAGAAAAAAAAAAGTTTGTTTTTTCGTCACACAACTATAATCCCAAATCCAGCACTCCAGGCAGTTTCACCGTGTGATAGGATTTTAATGCATAGCACAGGGAAGTTCTACACATATTTTTCCAACTTTCTTGAGAGGTGTCACTTGTCTGCTTAAACCCACGGGCTTATCTGTTTCGTATTAAAACACGGTATCACTAGGGGGCCGCGGGGGGTCGAGGGAGAGAAGACAGAGGAGCGTGTGAGTGACAACAGACAAACAAGAACAAAAGGCAGAGGAAACTTTCTCCTCAAGGTGCAGCTCATGCCCCCCCCGCATTCCCCCTACCCAGAGCAGGCTGAACCAGAGCAGGAGAATCAGCTGAGAGGGAAATACGTCCTCCCCCTCCCGCCAACCCTGCCCCTTTAGTGGGGCACAAGTGCCCCCCACCCCCTGTGGGGCAGAAGCGGTGCAAGCCAGCCGAGCGCCCCCGCCCTCGGCTCACCCACCTGGTGCAGCGTGTCCGCAGGGAGCTGCGACGCCCTGAACAAGTCGCCCACTTTGCTCCCCCCGGCGGCTGGGGCCGGCGCCGAGCCCCCCTCGGGCGCGGGCGAGCAGCAGAGCGAGAAGAGCTCGGCGTAGCGCTGCTGCTCCGTGTCGCTGAGGGGCAGAAGCAGCCCCGCTCCCCCCGCGGCTGCCCCGCCAGGTCCCTGCTCCATGGGCGCCGCGGCGGAGACGAGGGGCAGCGGGAGCGCAGGAGCGGCAGGGAGGAGGCGGCGGCGGCGGCGCTGCCAAGGGAGAAGGCGCCGTCCCCGTCCCCCCGCCTCCGCGGTGCAGCTCTGCAGTGCTCCGGCTGCCGGCCGGCCGGCGAGCCGCTCGCTCAGCACCTTTCCCCCCAGCCCCGCCCGTCGCAGGCGGCAGCCAGACAGCGGCCCCCGCAGGAGCAGAGCGGGACGTGCCCAGCCGGCCCGCCGCGGAGCCCGCAGTGCCACGGCCGGGGCTGGCCAGCGGGAACGCGGCGCGGGGAAGGGGAAGGGGGCGCCGGATGCGGCACCCCCGAGCGGGGCAGCGCGGCCGCGGCGGTGCCGGGAAGCGCGCAGCGGCCCCAGGGGCGGCGGCGGAGGGGAAGGAACTGCAGCCACCCGCGCTGGGAAGGGAACGGAAGGGAAGGGGGGGGAGAAAGAGGCGACCCCCAGAGGGAAAAGGCTCTGCCGGCCTGGAGAGGTTTGGGGAGCTTTGCACAAGCCCTTCCGGTCACTCGGGAAAGACTGGGGTCAGTGAAGGGTTCCCGGGTCAGAGCTAAAGGGGCAGCCTTTTGTGTATGATACAAGCTGTAACCACCTGATCCTAGGCCAGTCCCCAAACCTCCCTCTCTCGTCCCTATAGTCTTAGCTATTCCAATTGCATTGTCAAAAATGTTCAGGCTAGCTTTCGTGACTGAGGGCCTAACTGTCTAGCTGTGGACTGCTGACATGGTCCCCTTTGATGGAGTGGCTGAAGGCCTGCCAGGCTTCAGTGTGTTTATCCTCACAACACTCCTGTTAGATAGGGAAGTGCCATTATCCCCACTGTACAGCTGGGGAACCCAGGCACAGAGAGGCCAGGTTACAGAGGAAGTTTGTGGCAAAGCAGGGAACTGAAAACAGACCTCCCAAGGTAACACTATAACCATAATGCATCCAATGAAGTAAGCTGTAGCTCACCAAAGCTTATGCTCAAATAAATTGGTTAGTCTCTAAGGTGCCACAAGTCCTCCTTTTCTTTTTGCGAATACAGACTAACACGGCTGCTACTCTGAAACCATAACCACAAGACTATCTTTGCTCATTTTCTGAGGTACTAGACACCCACACAACCTGTCGGCTTCACTGGAAGATGGGGCGGGATGTTCAGCATTGCTGAAAATCAAACTAGGCTAGCTTAACTTAGTTAACAATTTGACTTGTCACACTCCCACTGCTGCCACTCTAATGCTGGCAGTGGTTTTGTGTGTGCATTTGGCTGCAGTGCTTCAGCCAGCCACCCTTACCAGAGCTGCCCACCTTCCCTATGAAGTCAAACCAAGGGGAGTTCCTGATAAAAAAAGCTAATATGCATTCTCTGTATATTATTTCTGGTTTGGAGACAGCATTCATATGTTTCTATTTTAGTTGTTTTTTTTTAAGACAGTTTCTTTTATTGGATATGTGTTACAGTCAAAATCCTTTTTAAATAGTACCACCCATTGTCAAAAATGCCACTTGAGTGCTGTGTATAAGATCATTCAATAAACTAAAATAAGGCTTAATGAACCAACAGTGAATGGTTCGTAGAAAAACAGTCCACAGTGTGGTGTTTTGTGTAGGTAACACAGGTAAAAGGCCCCATTCATTCTGCACTCTTCATTCAGACAAAATTCCGACTATTTCAACAGGGATCTAGAGCAAGCAATATGGGGTCTTCCCTAAGGGGCCTGGTTGTGCAAATATTTATGCATGTGCTTAACTTTGTTTCCTACCATGAGTAGTCCCAGTAACACTTGCAGTAATAAAGTTAAGCATGTGCATGTTTGCAGAATCAGGGCCTTAATTAGAAGTATGGGACTGAACCCAACAGAGACGATATTTTTAGACCTTAGACTTTTTTAAGTCAGCAACCATGAATTGTATTTTCTTTTCAGCCAGCAATACATTCTTCTTAGGTGCAATTTAAGGGATGAGGCAATTAACTATGAAACTATTTTAGCTATCAGTTTAGGTGACCTCTGTAAATGCTGATGACCTGTGTCCTCAGCAGCTTCTGGTGAGGGTACAATGTCTGGCCCAAGACAATTCTGGACACCTGGTATCCACCTCCACTTACTTACAGTACAAATACTAGGCAGGAGGCTGTTGTTAGTCATTCCGCCCACTCACCCCCAACGTATAAGTAGTTTAGGTAGAGAGATGCGAGAGATGGATGGGGGTTTTCTTGGTATTCTGGTAAAAGCATAAAATTTAAATTTAATTAATTTCCATCAAACAAAATATATTGTTGAAAAAATATTAAGGTTGCTCAAGTACATCTGCCACCAAAAAACTCATAAAAAGCTAGAACATCATTAGTTAATCACTCACCCAACTCTTGCAACCAACAACCATCATTTTATTTCCAAACTGCCCTACTTACCCCACATCATATATAACTACTCCCTCCACCTTTGCACAAAACATACAACCTTTAACTCCTATAATATACAGTGGATAAAAGTGGATGTTTTCTAAATGTTTGGAATGTTGAATTAGAATTGAAATAGTTGGTTGGTGGGTATGGGGTAGGTTTTTAGTTAATGGTTATATTTAAGTGGATAGCATTGGATGACTATTAATGGAGGGAAATCTTTGTTCAATAAGGAAAGAGGTTTGCAGTGGCATTTATCAGTTTTAGAATTTATTGTTTAAAGCTCAGCTCAAAATGTCTGAAAACTGCTCAGGGTGCAGGGAGGGGACAGCTAGGAGCTGTGCGCTGAGAGAGTGTAGCTCAGGGTGCAGGGAGGGAGGGAAGGAGGGAGGGTCTGTGTGTGGATGGCAGGCAGCTCAGGGTGCAGGCACGTAGTAGCTAGGGGCTGTGTGTAGGCAGGGGGTAGCTCAGGGTGCAAGGAGGGGGTAGCTAGGGGCTTTGTGCAGGCAGGGGGTAGCTCAGAGTGCAAGCAGGGATGTAGGTCAGGGTGCAGTGTGCTGGGAGGGTTGCTGCTCCCTGAGTGCTGTGCCAGCCCCGGAGCCAGGTCCCCCTGCCCAGGCAGTTCTTACCAGCTGCATGACCAGTCAAAGGGTGCTGGGAGCTGAGGAGCAGCCGCAGCCCCGAGCACCAGCAGCAGGAGGAGGAGACTGGATGGGAGTGGGGGAATGCCACAGCAGCTGCCCACTCCCTGGCACCAGCCAGAGCAGCAGCTGCTCTGCACTGCCCTGCTCTGGCTTCCTGACTCCGACCTGGTCAGGGAGGGGGACCTCAGGGGTAAGGGAGAGGAGGAGGTGGGGAATGTGAGTGGAGCTAACCAGAATGGGGCAATCCCAAGGGCAAGGCACTGCAGTTGGGGAAGGGGTGTTTGGCAACACCTCCCCTGTGTCTCCCCCCCCCAACTCCACCCATATGGGACACTGGGTTTGTGAACCCCCTGAAACTGGCTCATGGCCCCCTGGTTGAGAACCGCTGGGCTAGGAAACACCATCCCATCTGAATGATGAATGATTACTTGGCCTCTGTTATTCATGCCTCACCATCTCTTAGCTGCATTACTACAGTTATGCAATATTCCTGGGAAAGAAACCTTCAATGTTTAGGAAACCCTAACGAGTTTACTTGGTCCTGCCTCAGCACAGGAGGCTGGACTTGATGACTTCTCAAAGTCCCTCTCAGCTCTACATTTCTACGATTCTAATACAGAACTCTCAGTGCATCTACTCAGCCATACTGGCTACCACCATGAGCACACCAGACTTGACCTCCACACTCTATACTGGCTTTCCATACGCATAGAATATCAAATCCAAGTTCAAGGTCTCGGCCCTTATCTTCAAGGCACTCAATGGCCTTGGGCTGAGGGTATCTAAAAGCTCAACTGAAGCTATGGAATGAAGTCCATGGCCAACATTTTTGCTTCTCTGCCACATGGAACTTTCTACAGTAAGTAAAGCTCATCTGGGCAGGAGACAGCACTTTCTCAGAGGCTGGTCCAAGACTGTGGAATGAATTCCCATAGGAACCATGGATTATCACAAACTTCACCACCTTCTGTTCCTAGGGCAAGGCACATTTCTTTGACCTTGCCTTCTCTCACACAAATATCTAGAAATGTATGCGCACATGCACATGTGCATAACATTTAAAACAAAACACTTCACTACCCACACCTCTGCCCTGGGGAGATGATAAGAGAAGAAACACATGACATATATTAGTCATATCACTTAATGCACTACTGGAAGCTGATCAGATACAGTGCTGATTAGCATAGTATAAGAACCTATATAGAAAAGAAGGTTGCATGTTTTACGCAGAGGTAGAGGGAGGAGACCTGTGTGGTATGGATGGGGAATGTGGGTGTGGAGGGAATATGTTGTAGAAGATGAAATCATAGTTATAGGTTGCAAGGGTTGTGTGAGGAGTTAACTAGTGATTTCCTGGCTCTGTTGGTGGAATATGCACTTGAGCAAACTTAACAGGTTTTTATTAAAGATTTGTTTTGTTTAGTGGAATTTCCCGTTTTTTTAAGATGTCTATATGAACATTGAAAGCGATTATGCCTTGGATAGCTATCAGAGCTGATATATAATACCATCTCAAAGACCTGTTGTAGACTTATACTTCGACATTCCTCTTACATTGCTCCCATGTTCCTTCTGCCCTCACCCCCAGTCCTGATTCCCTTTATGTTCCCTCCACTCACATGTTTGATACCCACCATGTCCCAATATGCCCCTACCAAATTCACCTTTTAAACACTGGTTAACATTTAAAAGCTGAATGTGGGGTGAACTAGGAGTGTGGAGGGAAAGGGGGGAGAAGCATGATGTGAAATAGGGCTGTCGGGTGGGGCTGAGTCAATATATATGTGGGTAAAGAGAGGGAGGCGATACTTTGTGGAATGGCAATAATGATGGAAACAGGTCAGTTATACATAAGCCCTTTCATTTTCAGTTTTAACCGATTTTTATAGAAAAAATCTCAGGTTTTACAAAAAGTATGATTTTTTCCCCAATTTTTATCCTACTTTTGTATCATTCAAATATATAAAAAATTTGTTTTATTAGGTAAATATAATAGATTTCATGAGATATATGTATTATATATAATACATTAGCCTGTGTGTATATGCAAAGCTCCCTGATGAAGTAAGGCTATTTATTAATCTAGAACAGTGGGAGCCGCGATCAGCCAAACCTGCGGATGCGGCAGGTAAACAAAGTGGCCCGGCCCCGCACGGGCTTTCCCCACACA